CCAGTATGAGTCTTTGCCTTTTGAGTGCCAGAAAATCATAAGGGAGGAGCCCTTCGCTACCACTGTAGCAGTCATAAGCACCTCTTCTGATACAGCTAGGTATGGCCATCAGAGCTACAGCCCTTTCAGGCGGGTTTTTACATGGATCAAGCTTTCTATCAAATTATTCTTTCCCTTGGTCTGAGTATGCAAGATTTCCTTAGTCCTTTCCCCCTGTTTCTGCTGTCTAAATATCCAAACTAGGGACTGAATATTTTAAAATCCAAATATTATGAATCATAGAAAATTATAGCTCAAAGATGATTAACTTCAATGTTACAGGTTTGCACAGGGTCTTTTCCATTCAAGTTTTGAATACCTCCAAGGATGGCGATAACATAGACTTGCTGGGTAATCTGTTCCAGTGCTTAACTACTCTCGGTGGGAAAATTTTTCCTTTATGTCCAGTAGGAATCTGTCTTGCAGTTGGGCATTGTCGCCTCTCATCCTTTGCTGTGTGCCTCTGGGAAGTGTCTGTCTCTGTCTTCTCCACCCCCTTTTAGGTAGCCCGAAGGGTTCAGTTTACCCCCCTTTTAGTTGCTTGTGTTTGCAGGTAATATTTACATTCTTATTGCTGCAGGCAGTGAAAAAAACGCCGGTAAAGAAAATACCTGTAAATCACAAGGGAACAATAGAAGAAGGGACTAACATTAAATTGATGAAAATTGCTCATGTACATAGTTATCAAGATGACATTTCTAAATAACATCCTTGTGGGAGGATCATTAATATCTTCCGTTACCACGTCTCATAGGCTGGATGTTTATAAGAGCGTCTCTCTTTAAATTAAGTTTATTCAAAGCTTAGAAGAGGATTTCTATCCTTCCTTGGGAAAATGCAGCCTTTGGAGACTTCCTAAAAACGGTTCAGGCTGAAGGGCTTTGGTTTAGCAGGCATTTCACATACCAGAGTATGTGCTATCTGAGAAGCAAACTGAGAAAGTCCATTCAGTTTACATCTTCTACTACTTGTGCTGCCAAACCTGAGCTAACAGACACCATCACCACTTCTCCCATACCCATTTTTCCTCCTGGGGCTACTGGTTGCTTATAATAGGTATTATAAAAGTGATATGAACCACAAGAACTGTGTTTGTGCGTGCAAGAGAGAATGTGTGCATGTGTGTGTGTTTTGGGGAGTATGGGAAAGAGAAATAGAATTATTACTCTCTCCTCCTGGAAGAGCCCATGTCTCATGACAGTTTGAAGGACATTTGCTTTTGGTGAGTTACTTTAACCTTTAGGGTAGGAAGCAGCCCTGTTGCATAGCTCAGATAGACACGTAGCTTCTACTGCATGTCTGTGTCCCAAGTTCTGCATGCGTTTCTTGTTTTCTGCTTATAGTGCCCTTCATCAAGGTATTCTGAGGAGATTTTACCAAATGATGTGAAGTCATGGCACAGACTGATTAGCTATTTGGCCATGTGAGTTCACAATGCTTGCAACGAAATAATAGCTACCAGCACCTCTCTTCTCTAGATGCTTCCACTGGAAACTAGAAAGATCTTTAGAAAAAATTACGTCTGTTGCCTTCATGATTTCTTGTCATCCAAGCATTACAGTTAGCTTAACTCAAACTCAGTAACTTTGGTAAGAGGCTACACAGGTTTTACTGTAGACAGCATGCTACTAAGAAGCAGCAGAGATCATAATTATAAGCTGCAATATTTAACAACACCTCAGGAAACTTCCAGTCCGGCAGTACTGCTAAATAATGTTTATCCCATAATCTCTCACTGAAGGACTGTATGAGTTAAGGAAATGTGATATTTTTTTTTTTTTAGTTTAGGGGTTTTTTTCCCCTTTAAGTTTTTATGTCATGAACTAGATCCTGGTCAACATCCCCAAGGATAATTTATCTCCCTGTCTACTCAGATTCCCAAGCAAGCATGGTCCAGCACTGCATTAGGCAGGATTATCGTAGTTACTGTAGCTACTTTTGAGAGGGAAGAGAAGAACCTGACTCATTATGAGGGGGACTTTTTGATGTGTTTATGATAAGCTTGCGTTGAACACACATACAATTTGATAGCCTGAGTCAGGAGAAAGAATCACCATTTGAACTTTAGTTATGTGCATGGTTATAGGGACGTGTGGCAGCTTCATCTGCAAAAAATGGACAGTAGAAATAGGAAATGAGACCGGATGCAACGTTTTACCCGTGAGGACTTGTTTGGCCTGTAGAAAAATAGAACAGGGTTAATACTAACCTGTGTCATCGTTGTCGTCATCGTTCCCCTCCTCCCCACCCCACGCAGCTCAGAGCACACACATACAACGTCTGCCATAATCTCCTTTTCTAATTGTAGTTTGTATTCTAATAATCCCTTTTCCTCCTTATAGCTGCTTGCATTCTAATACCTAGCCTTTTTTCCCCTCTTCCTCCTATGCTAGTGGTCAGAAAAATACAAATTGTCTGATGTAAGTAAAAGTACAACTCTTTGAGACAGAAGTAGCAAAAGAAAAGTTGCCCTGTGCGTGCAAGAACCTGTGTCCATGAGATCCTCAGCTGAACTCTGCCTAAGCAGCCGCCCTACCTTGGGAGTCGGTGGAGGATTTCCATGGTGGTGTGGCTAACTTCTGTTTATTTCTTCAAGACCTGCTCAGCTGGCCTTTTACATAGCCAGGCTCAGTTTTGGTTTGGTCTAAAATAATCACAGTTTTAGTATCTTTCTTTACCTGATATTTTAGATAAGTTTTATCTTACAATACAGATATTTATCTTGTAATAGGGATTTATATCTTATGAGAGGGGTAGAAAAATTAGTTAAAGCAACATGTTTAAGAAAGTAAAAATTAACATTGCTGACCCAGGCAAATAAATTCAGTCTTGGCTTTACTGCCTAAATATTGAAGAAGGTGATTTCTGAGGTATAGTTTCTTCCTCCTCCCACCTACAAAAAGAATATATTCCTTTCTGTGTTAAGTTTTCTTAACCTTGAACAGAAAGACTAACAGATATCCAGCTCTGTAACAAAAACAGAAGAATATCCATCTATAAGAAGCAAAATTTTAATACTAGATAATGAAGAAAAATAGTTTGAAGAATATCATATGTGTAATTTATTTCACAATTGGTTTGTCACTTTTCAGACAGTTTCAGTGCCCTGAAATGCAAGTGCATTAAATTAACCAGAATTGTCATCATCCATTCAGTTTGATTAAACATGTCAGTGATGTGGCAAAGTTAAAACAATAGAGACCCTGGAAGGATGTCATTGTAAAAAAAAAAAAAAATGTAACTAGAAAAAGTCAATGGAGAAGGCAGACCAGCATGGCTAAGGGCAGTAAATTAAATCCTGCTTGGGAATCTGACCCTGATCCAGCAAAGCGCTTAATCTCATCATTTAAGCATATGAGTTCTTCCCTCTCTAAGCATGCATATTGTCCCACTGAAGTGTGAGATTAAGTGAGTTCCAAGTTTGTTGCCGTAGAGCTCAGCATCTATCAGACCAGAGCCTTCATTGACCTGTTGGGGTACACATCCTGCAACAAGACTTATGTATTGAATGGTATTTGTGTAGGCATTCATGTGGTGCAAGTTCAATGCAACCCAGGGGTTCCAAAGTAGTCAGAAAATTATTGTTATGTTTGGGTACAAAGGGCTGTAAAATGTTTTATACTGTAAGGTGCAAGTCTTTTTGTAATTGCAGCACAGAAAAAATGTAGAGGTATAGAAGAACAGATTAAAAAAAATCATTTACAAAAGTATCTGATGTCTAGAGTTCTGTAGTTGAAAGGTTTTATTGATAAATTATGCCCTCGATTTGAATAGACTTCAAAATCTGTAGCCAAAAGGAATGACTGTTTTGTGCTACATTGGTAAAATGTCTTATGTGGGTATTTATTTTCCTATGAAAAGCTACTGGATGATACAGTATAAAACTTACAATTTGTTTCACTGTTTTATTGGAAGCAGCTACTCCTTTACAAAGGCAACAGCTCTTCAATCAATGAGTATTGTTACGTGCATTATGGATAGTTTAAGGGCTTAAGTAATGATTTCCTCTTTGCGGGTATGTAACTGCCACAGAGTTAGTCGTTAAAGTTACATTGTTGCTTCTTCCTGCAGAAAAATTGTAAGTGATAAAAATGAACATATGAAATATTGCAGGTCTAAACTAATCTGCTGGTAATGTGTGCTCGCTAATCTTTTTAGAGAGCAAGGCCAAACCTCTGCTTCCTGTGTATACGGGACAGGTTTGCGGGAGTCTAACTGGACCTTAGACAGGAGAAGGGATTGTCCAGAGTAGATTATGGCTCTGCATCTCGAACAAGAAGCTGACAGGGTTGATGCTACAAGGGCTATAATTAGTCTTACACCGTGGCCCACCTTGTTTCAGTGGGAGAGGAGACCTTTCTTTCCACAGTGCTTTCATCATCTTCCATGATGCCCATCCCTTGTGTATAACATCCTTCTACACTAGGAATTATGTGCTGCTTGGCAAAGAGAGCAGCTTTCCCCTTTCCCCTTGGAAGATTTTCTTGTTGGGGGAATTTCTCTGCCGCCTGTCTTCTAATGCCTTAAATCCATTTTATGTTGTATGTAGCTTTTGTACCTGAGAATTGATGCTGTAATAATCTGCATTGCTGGTGAGTTGCACATGATGAATACAAGAAGCAATTAGCGTGCCCCACAGAACATGCCTTCACAGCAAATTTATTGCACTATAAGCTACTTCTGTTTCAGTGAAAAGTAATCACATATATAGGAAAGCAAAGAGGTAGGCTGCTGTACTTGTATTTGGGCAAGAAGAATTAAATGCAGAAAGTAGTGAAAAAGAATTGGCAAAAGTTGCTGTGTATGTTGTTTATAGAAATAGTAGACATAAGGACAAATTTGTGGTTTGCCAGTTTAATAGGAGCTCATTTGGCTACAAATATGAAAACTACTGAAAACTAAAACCAGGTGGCTACTCCAACACTCCTTATTCCTTTTTATATTCCCCTGATGTTTTGCAGCTGTGCAATGGTGGATCTGTGACTGATCTTGTGAAAGGATTTCTGAAGAGAGGCGAAAGGATGAATGAACTTATAATTGCTTACATTTTACGCGAAGCTCTGATGGTAAGATAAGCTCTCAGTGAAAGGACAGTCAATATTCAGCTCATAGTTTTTTCTTTGAATGAATGAGGATCATGTCCCCACTAACATGGCACACTATCTTATATTATAGCAGTGTTTAATGAAATCAAAGTAATGTGTAATTCAGACGGTTCTTTTTGAACAAACAAGGTAAAGAACAATTCATCTGTTTGTTTCATTATTAAGAGAATGAAAATTGATTTCTGATCACTGATTCCTTTCCTTAGTAAATACAGTTCTGCATCAAAATCGCTTTTCTTTTGAGAAATAGCAGAAATATACCCAAAATACTGTTCAACTTCTTATGTCTGGATCCAAAATATTTTTATAGCAAAACGATCAACAGATCTAGTGAATTCAAACACTGCTACAAGAAATTTTTTTTTGGCTAATCAGGATCAAGTGTCTTTATTTTTCATTTTCTTTAACCAGAACTTGACTTTCTGCAGTGGAATTTAGGCCTTAGCAGTTTTCTTTGAGTTTATACTCTAAAGGTATAATATATTATGTAGATTTATAGTGCTTTTTTTCTGCTTTTATCTTAAAATTTCTATTTGACATAAAGTGGGGCAATTAAAAAATATCTATTCCTCATGGTGTGCCAAGTGTTTTTCCAGTCTGAATGACATCTCTGTGTTTTTGGATTAAAAAAAAATCTGGTTTAAGTTTTTTCATACTTTTCTGGTACCTTTTTGTTTCTGCAAATGTAATACAGAGAACAGAGCTGTTAGTAAAAAGTTCATGTTTACATCTCACCTTCCAGGGACTTCAGCATTTGCATGAAAACAAAACTATCCACCGTGATATTAAGGGAAATAATATCCTTTTGACCACTGAAGGAGGAGTCAAGCTTGTGGATTTTGGTATGTTATGTTTACTTATATAGACAACCAGTGTTGTACATCTGAAGTATAGAAAATAAAATAAACAAATCAGAAAAGATTAATGATACTAAATTTTTATTAAGTTTTTGAGTTCTTAATTAAAAATCACTTGGATAGCCAAAGTTACTTTTTAACTTGATAGAAATAAAATATTTACAGACTTCATGTTTTTACAACTTTGGGTTTTCCAGCCATTTTGCTAATGCTGTTTAGATAGCATGGTTAACGAGTAGAAGTTATAATATGGTGGTAGTAAGTGCCAAATGCTTTGGGGCAGACGCAGTAAGTGAAGTGGCAAAGCAGGTTAATAGGGTTCAAAATAAGGTTGGTGTTTACTTCCTCCAGGACCGTGCGCTGGTTCAGTGAAATTAGGAGCTGATAGGCAAAAGCTTCATGTTGTATATGAGAGGACTTAGAATTTACAAGATACTGTGAAGAACGGGAGAGCTCCATCTCACTCGCATATACTTCATTAGTTTGATTTGAAACAAAACAAGAGATAGTACCTGAAGGCAGTGGAGGGGGAGATATTATATAGGTAATCCCCACTTTCCAAAGTCTGGGAAGACTAACAGATTACTTTTGGCAAGTCTAAACCTAAGACTTGGCATTAAATGAAAAGGGTCTGTTCAAGTTTGTTAGGCCTAAAGTTATTCTTGAATGCTGTCATTTGGTTTTAGCACCAGAAGGCAAAAGCAGAGACACAGGTAAGTGGATGCAACCTGTTATTTATCAGCGATACCACAGTGATTTACCTTAAAAGTGTGTTGACTCTTGTTTTATATAAGGGGGGTATAAAAATTTGCAATGCTTGTTATTATGAACTATTATTCTCTGGTAGCACACCATCTTCTAATGTTTAAATTCAATTTATTGGTCACTACTTTACAGCATAGCAGCCAATTGTAAATATGATGATTCCATTCAGCAGATGGAAAATCTTCATTTTTCCTTTACCCTCCTATTTTGTTAATGAAATTTATTCAATTGATACATAACAATTGTTTAAACTAATCATGGGATTTTAACTCCCATTAGTGTAGTGTCTTCCTGCCATTAGATTGTATTTATGCAACTCTCATTCCTTCACACACAAACCCCCCACAATTATTAGGGTTACTAATTCTTCCGAAAATTCATGTATTTATGTTCATTATTTTATTCCTCAGATAAAATCTTCTATTGAAAAGCCTCCAGACTTCCTAAATTATCTGCCATACACTTACTAGTATTTTCTGATAATCTGGAAGTTTAATGTGAGGCAAAATCAATATTTTTGCCCACAGGTTTTTAATGTGTTGTGGATACTAATTTTTTAAGGTGCTGAAGGCAATTAGAGCTGTGGAAGATCGATGCTTCTGAAAATTAATTCACTTATGCAGATGTCAAAACATACAAGCTGTAGGGATGAGGACCTGAATTCTTTATTCCCCAGTTACTGCAATCTACTGCTAAGGCTGTAATTGAAAAATAATCTTAAAATCTTGTGGGAAAAATGGTGATGCCAAAGCACAGATGAGAATGTGCACAAGAAACAAACATACATACACACGCTTTTATGTGGGTTGAAGAGGGGCCTGTAAGAATAAAATCTACAGTCCTTCCTCTCAAAGAAATATAGGAACTAAACCTTAACTTAGGAATAGATAGAAATTTTCTCTTCCTTTTTTTTTTTTTTCTTTTTCCCCCCAAAACCAATCTGAAGCCAATAATGAGTAGTTTCAAATGGGAAAAATTTATACATAATCACATCATGGAAGACACATCATTCACCCTTCAGGCTGATGTTTAAGGTATTCAGCTGGGATTTGGGAGATTTGTGTCTTCTACTTAAGAGGATTTAAATCCACATTAATCAGATTCCAAGACTATTTTTTAGCTAGGAATGTGAGTTGATCAAAATCTCTCTGATGTTGACACTGCTACAGACTGTTGTACATAAATATTTATTGGATCAGGGACTAAAACTCATAGCCATCTTTTTACTGTATAAGCCTGTGAACCTGCAGGCTACAGAATGAGATAGACACACAGGCACAATCTCTTTTTCTCCCAGTAAATACTCAGTGGAAGCAAAATTTTTGTTCTAGGTTGAACCAATTATTACATGGGGCCAAACAAACAAGCAAAACCAACCCAAATAATCACACAGCCCTTTCTAGCATGCACACAGCTTTTCCGTTGTGGAGAGGGGAGCAGAGATCAAGGACTCCTTCAACCACTGAACACACTTGACAGAGGAAGTGAGCCCTTCCCAAGATAATTTTGTCTGCGCCATTCTCCTGCTTGCTGGTTGATGATGAGATGTTCCTGAAGAACCCTTTGCTCTCCTCCCCTGATACTCTTTATGGTGGTTTTCATTTAAACAGGTGCATAAAACCTGTATTTGAAAGATGGACCTGTGAAGTGCCTTATGGAGCACAATACTAGAAAAGGACCTGTTCTCGGTCTGTATGTGTTGTGTGGTCATATAACTTGAACTTGTGTCTTTTTTTTGTCTTTTTTTTTTAAGTACAGTTAGGAACTTTTTAAGAGTCATAAGTGAAAAAACAGTTAACCTCCAGTGAATTAAATCACCTTTGAGAATGGCTTTTCTTTCCTTTGTTCTTTTTGTACTCTGAACTTGGTATATAGTGTACCACCACTGTGAGTCCTTTCTTGCACAGCAGTATTGACTTTCCAGAAGTTTCATTTTGTGACACAATTTATACACATTGCCTTATGGTTGTTGTGTCATAGGCATTTATGTATGCTGTGACCATGGTTTCTGAACACTGCACAGACTGTAATGGATGACCTTCACAACACTCTTATGAGGAAGTAAATTACTATGATTCCCAGTTAACAGCTGGGAATCTGAAACTTTGAGAGACTGAGTTGCTTGAGGTGACACAGAAAGTCTGTAGAAAAGCTCTCCCAAAATCCAGGTTAACAGTCTGAACTGTTTGCCTTTCATAGAGGTATTGATAGTTAAAGAGATGAGAAAGACTTTGAAAGAATACCATGGGAGTGCCTCACCCAGATTGCTTTGAGGAGTGAAATTTTTGCTTTCCATTAAAATTCTGCTGTAATATTGCTTAATCACCCCAGTAATATTCTCGTATCTAAGAAACGCCCAATCCCAGTTGATAGATTAATGATCAAATCAAGTAAATGAGTTTATAGCATCTCCACACCAATGCTTCTGGAGCTCAGTTGCTTATCAAGGAGCTGCCAGATAGAAGTTTTAGTTTAAACTGTCCAAGCCACAAGAAGTTTGAACTACTGTTACCAGGGAAGCATCCTCTCTCCTCACATCCATCCAGTATGATAATTTAGATCAGCAGAGATAAACAAAATCATTCTTTTTTACTACAGAAAATGAGTAGCAGCCAAGGGGATCTACTCTAAGCACATCCCATGATCACAGATTCAGTCCCTGAATTCATTAAACTTCTAGATACATTAAAAAGTCCATATTTTTCTTGTAAGAGAAGAAGGTTGACTTGAAGGCAGTTTTGCTGCCTGAACATTTGTGGGAATTAGCTGTTAAGCTGTTCTGGTGGAAAACCTTTGGGGAGGGATGTTATGCCTGAGAATCGCAGCAATTACGCTCTAAGCAAGGAGCATCCTCTACTGCATCAATACAAATAATAAATAGCTGCACTATATTCAAGCGTAGCAGCTATGTTTTCAGTATAGGATAGAGATTTGATAGAAAAATATACATTTACATTAAAATAAATGCCCTGCAGCACTTTAAAGGGTGACAGCTATATAATATATTGTATAAAAAGAGTTGGAGGCAAGCAAGGTGTGAACCAAATTCCCTTTTTATAAATATTCTTAATTATATTCACAGTTGCTTATTAGTGTTCTGTGAAGGAAACCTTTTATATCTGTTTCTCAGATTTCTGGTTGTATGCAGTGGATTGATGTTAAAGAGCCAGATTTCGAAAGAAATTTTAGCCACTAAAGGTGCAGAAATGCACAGAATAAAATTTTCAAAACTTTTAAGCATGTAAATCCAAATTAATTTAATGCTAGATACCTTTTGAAAGTCTTGTGACAAATTTATCTGCAGCTTTTACTGCCTAAATATCTTACAGTGTCTGACCTTGTTTCATCAGTTAAAAAACTGGCCTGAAGTCACTTGCACACATAGCACACCTCATCTGTAATAAAAATTCCTATATTTATTTGCATCTTACAATGTGTAACCAATTTCATAGGGAACTGAGTATATAATATCTGCTTATGCTGACAAATACTTGCTTCTTTGAATAGTCCCTCTCGATTCAATTTCTCTTCTTGAAATCGGGATGCTGCACAGGGCCTTTCATGTATTAAATAATGTTAGTCTAGGACACAATTCCCGTTTGGAAATTCTGAGATGTCAAATAATGTGCTGTTCCAAAATGGAAGAAGAGAAACTTAGCTGTATAATTACTGTTATTATTTTAACTTTGGTCTGAAAAAGTCCAAGCGACATTGCATTTTGAAAGATTTGACGTGTTTCTGAAATCCCCTGCCATTGCAGTGAGTCTGGGAGCTTGAAAGCCAGAGCTTTTCACGCTTATATGTTATTGAAATAAGAGGATCCTAGAGGACACAACTCCCTATCGGCAAACTAGACAGGTTGCTGACGAGTGGAGAGTCATGGAGGAAAGAACCATTTTTCCACTAAAAGTTTTGAAACATCTACAGTAATGTGGCAAGTGATTCTTTTAGCTAAAAAGCGGAGACTGTAATCCTGATGGAAAAATCCTCTTCAGCTATGTTTTTGAGGGTTGACCTTGTAGGCTGATAGTCTTGAACAAGAGCACAGGTAGCTCATGCTTCTCTGGGACTGCTGAAGCCTGCTGTCACAGACTAGAAATATCTCAGGATGAGCAGCTGTTGCCTTGGAAATGTCCAGAAAAAATGTGAGTATAAATTGTACTCCACCACTTAGGCAAATGCATAGTTTTCCAGCAGCACTGTTCCTTGCTGAAGGCCAT